AGAGAGAGAGAGAGAGAGAGAGAGAGAGAGAGAGAGAGATGTGGACACCTGACTCCTAAGAGATGCACAGAGCCCAGCAAACTCATTTCACAGAGGCCATTTAATAGTCATCAAATGGAAAAGTCTTGTACTCAGTTTCAAGCTGTGTTGGATTTGAACCAGTAAGTAGATGCGGAAGGTGCTCTATAGCCCACTAATCCCCAGAATGATCTAGAACCCTCAACCTTCTTAGGTGAAGACATTTTTCTATGGAAATCTCTGAAACAACAAAGTTTTAGAACCTGAAGGGCATGTGAAATGTTTAGGATTGAGGGTCAGGGCCACTCAAGATGAGAAGACACAATACTGACTGACTGATCTAATCCGCTTACTTTCTAGGCATACAGTGCTGATCAATGAAGTATTGTATTGACTGGGAGTTGTTATATAAAATGCTTACACCAACTTTTAACATTAAACATGTATAATTTTGCAATTGAACCATGTTGATTTAAGAGAAAGATACTTTAAATAGATTCATTTTTATTTGATGCATTCAGTTTATTTCAGTTTAAGTGGTTTAAGTTTGGGTATAGCACAGTGTGTATCATATTCCGTCATTAGCCATTTGAAAGCTGCTTTTCAGTTAGTTAATAGGATTGTGCAATTCAAAAGGATTTACTTGACTGACACTTGTCTGGGCTAATATTATAGACAGTTCACTGTTGTGAAAATGCAAATGAAACAAATATTTGAATAGTAGAAAACACTGCAACTGTATTTATTTTCAGTGCAATGGAAGAAATCATGTGCTTTCATAAACTATGATGCTTTTACTTGTGCTTTGCACTGAAGTAACTAGACATATTTATTTTCCTTCTTCTGTGCTCACTTTTCACCTTTTTGGTGCAGAATTAGCCAAGCTCTGATTTTTCTGACATTATGATGTCTAGTTCTCCAGTCTATAAAATATAATCCAACTTTATATGCAAGTCCCCAGATGTATATGAACTGAAATCGGTGGGAGTCTTTCCATAGATTTCAGTGGGCTTTGTGTTCTCTTCTGTTCTGAAGCGATGCTATTACTGCGCGCATCACCGTAACATTGGAGGGGACATCTACAATGTGAAAAACTTCCCGTGGCAGCAAGTCTCAGAGCCCAGTTCAACTGAGTCAGGCTCATGGGGCACACATGTAGATGTTCCCCTCTGAAATCTGGCGAGAAGAGTGGGTCTCAGAGTCCATATTCCAGCCCAAGTGAGAACCTCTATACTGCTATTTTTAGCCCTATAGTGCAAGCCCTGTGAGCCCGAGTCAGTTGACCTGGTCTCTGAGACTTGTTTCCATGGGGGTTTGTTTGTTTGCAGTGTAGACATACCTCCAGTGTGTTCCAGAAGTGGATTAAGCAACATGACTGACACCTGTCATCATGTTTTTGCTTTCTCATCCTCTCCTCAAGGAGAGAAGTGTGCAGTGGAGTGTTTTGTTTAGAGAGTTTTTTTAAAAATACATATTTATAAATATACCTGTTGCTTTGTATTTACAGAAAAGTCAAGGTCAAAGAAATATGTTCTCATTTGGAGCAGAAGGCGATGAGGTTTGTGATGGTCCTTGGGTCCTGGGAGCATTCATTGTACAATCTTGGACTCGCCCCTGAGAAAGTTCTCTCTTCTATGCAGATAAGCTTTATGCTTATTGTGAATAGTTCCATTGTTCCAGAGATGCATAGTTGTCAATCATGGTCTTAATCCTGGAGCTTTTGGCAGTCTTTAGATAGTCTGGCCCCAGGCCATGGAGCCCTTGAAGATAGGGACCCCAAGACCTTGAACTTTTATCAGGCCCACATTCTACTCAAAAGCTAGCTTTCCTGTCATAGAGGCAAACCACTTAAGCACATGCTTATCTCTATGAATTTGACCAATTCTACTGGCTGACCAAACTGAGTAAAGTGGAGAATCTCTCCATGGACTGTGTACTAGACAGCGTACTGAGCTACAGATGAATTTGCATAGAGGTGGTGGGAATGCCCCCAAATAAAAACATTTTGGAATCAAATATTGAAACACTGAATACATCTGATAAGCAAACACATCCTTCTTTTTCCAGCTCTAGAACTATTAATCATAAGTCCCCACAAAGAATATTGAAAGCACTGATATGATATTTATTAGTGCCAGCCCATAATGTAAGTGCTGCTGGATGGCATAATCTAAGTGTTCTGATTTAGGACAAAAAGACAGTGAAAGTGTGGAATGTGTTGATAAAAGAAAAATGAATAATTATAGTATACTCCTACAAGACCTGCTTGAGCACATTACTGCTGTTTCATAAACTACTTAGAAAAGGCAGCCAGGGTGCAAATCTCTTGTGTTCCTAGCTTTTAAAGTTTGCCTGTATTCATACTGTGTCATACTTATATTCAATTGTACCAATATGTATTAATAAATAACAATCTTGAGATCTGCAATTTAAAACTACATTTTAGAAAAGGCAGCATCCCTTTTCCATAAACAGGTTTGCAGGTCCCACACTCCCAACCTAGCACTAGATGTCTCCTTTTCCAAAAGGAAGCATAATTAGTGCCACTTTGTAAAAATTCAAATATCATTTACAGTTGAACAGAATGGATTTCAATATATCAATGGTTAAATGCTTTCATCTTTTCACTTCCCCTTTCCCCTCTGCAACCCTGAGCCCCTTTGCTTAGTTATACTTGTTTGCCTAAACTTTTAACAGGTCCCAGTCATAATAGACCTACTTATACTAAACTGTTTGTCAGAATGGAGTTGGAGCACCTAAAATTTCTTTTCAGGGGCTCACGAGGAGTGTGCTCAGTGTTTTAACTGTGTGGTTTTGCCAGTCATGCTAGTCTGTAGGAAAATCATTCTGTCATCGCACAAATTACATTCGTAACACAATATCACTAGCCAAGGGCATAAACTTCAGTGGAGTCCAAACTAAAGGAAACTACCAATCCTGCAGCCGCTGACAGCATGGATTCAGCACTAATTCTCCCTTTGCATATCTACAATGCACAAATAGTGCTGGATGACTCATTGATGTACTGTGAGTGTGCCTGAGTGCCTATGTGTACGAATTATAGGAGGAGATGCAACTGATGAATATTCAGATAGGATGAAATGCACTACTCTTTGCATAAAGCCTGTGAAAACGGGCTTTGAGAAACCAAACATGGATTAAGCGGGGGTTGATTGGGATTCTAGAACAGCATGTGCACATGTTATGAGGATTTCTTGGCCTCTGGATCCAAATAAGCCTCTTTTGTCCACCCTCACTGGAATTCACTTGCACTAACCTGGCAGGTGCAGCAAACCACTCCATGAAGTACAGGGTATCTCTGTATGGTTCTACACACACCATCAATAAAACGGGGGGCTAATAAATTCTGCATAAGATAGTGTGTGGGACATATTGTATCTGAGGCAGGAAGGAGTGTTTCCTATTCCTAATGGCTGCGCAGAATATTGTCTGATGCAGACAGAGAAAGATGTAGCTTTAAGGTCTTTGTGAGTTCCTGGGGTTTTCACTTCCTCCTGTGGTCTGATGCAAACTAGTTGTCACCAAACTCCAGGAACCTACTGCCTCTCTAAGCTGTGGTTCAAATGCTCAACCTTTCTAGTTTTTCATTTGAATGCAGTGGCTCAGTGATGTGAATATTTACATATGATAGAACAGGTTTATACTGAGATTTGGGCACTTTAGTAGCCTAAGTAAAATAATTCAAATTTAACATGGTCTTTTACAAGTAACTTAAAATCAAGGAGTTAGTAAGCTAGGCATTTTCTAAAAGTGGAATGAACTTGCCGTCATTTCCTGTGGCTGGGATGCAAAGTCCAAAGTTGCTGATTCACCCAGCCTCCATCAAACAGATGTGAACCTATTCTGTTTTTCCACAGCCTTCATTGTAATCTCTCTAAACCTAGGTACAGTAAATTGTGTGGTTGTACCTCATAATTTTATCTAGTGAGACATTAATTTGATCACC